CCAAAACCTTCCCAACTCCAGCTTTTTCTTGTGTAGAATTCTCCCCAATTCCGAAATCCTTTCCAGCTCGTGCTTTCTCCTTTGTAGAATCTTCCCCGATTCCCAAATCCTCCCCAACTCATGCTTTTTTCTTTGTTGTCGCATCCTCCCCAATTCCCAAGTCCTCCTCATCTCCTGCTTCTTCCTGCGTAGAGTCGTCCCCGATTCCCAAATCCTCCCCAACTCCTTTTTCCTATATAGGATCCTCTGCATTTCCCAAATCCTCCCCAACTCCTGCTTTTTTCCTCCGTTGAATCACTCCCACTTCCCAAATCCTCCCCAACTCCAGCTTTTCATTTTGTAGAGTCATCCCGGATTCCCAAGTCCTCCCCAACTCCTGCTTGTTCCTGTGTAGAAATCCTCCACGAGTTCGAAGTCCTCCCCAACTCCGGCTTCTTCCTTTTTAGGATCCTCCCTAATTCCCAAATCCTCCCCGACTCCTGTTTTGTCATGTGTAGAATCCTCCCACTTCCCAAATCCTACCCAACTCCTGTTATTTTGGTTAGTCCCCAAGCCCCACATCCTCCCCAACTCTTGTTTTTTCTTTGTAGAAGCCGTCCCAATTCCCAGATCCTCTGCAGTTCCTGCTTTTGCTTTTGTAGAATCCCCCCCAATTCACAGATCAGCCCCAACCCTTGCTTCCAATTCCCAGCTCCTCCCTAACTCCTGCTTTCTCCTGTGTAGAATCCCCCCCCAACTCCCAAATCCTCCAGAACATTTTTTTGTTCCGCAGTAGAACCCCCCCAATCCCCAAATCCTCCCCAACTCCTGGTTTTTCCTTTTTGTAGAATCCTCCCCAATTCCCGAAACCTTCCCAACTTCGGCTTTCTCTTGCGTAGAATCGTCCCCAATTCCCAAATCCTGCCCAACTCCTGCTTTTTCCTCTGTTGAATCCCCCTCCCCAATTCCCAAATCCTTACCAGCTCCCAAACTATTGCTGTTTTTCCTTTGTGGATTTTTTCCAATTCTCAAATCCTCCCCAACTTCTGCTTTTCTCCTCTGTAGAATTTTTCCCCAATCCCCAAATCCTCCCCAACTCCTGCATTTGTTCCTCTGTTGAATATTTCTCATTTCCACAAGTCCTCCCCAACTCCTGCTGTTTCCTGCGTAGAATCCTCCCCAATTCACAGATCAGCCCCAACTCTTGTTTTTTCCTCTTGTAGAACCTTCCTCAATTCCCAACTCCTGCCCAACTCCTGCTGCTTCCTGTGTAGAGCCCTTCCCGATTCTCCAATCATCCCCAACTCCTGTTTTCCTGTGTGGGATCCTCCTCAATCGCCCAAGTCTTCCTTAACTCCTGCTTTTTTCCCTTGTAGATTCTCACAATTCCCAAATCGTCTTCATTTCCTCCCCAACCCCCAGATCCTCCCCAACTATTGTTTCTTCCGTTGTAGAATCCTCTCCAGTACTCAAATGCTCCCCAGCTACTGTTTTTTCCTTTGTAGAATCCCCCCAGCTCCCAAATCCTCCCCCCCCCCTGCTTTTTCCTCAGTTGAACCCCGCCCCAATTCCCAACTCCTGCCCAACTCCTGCCTTTTCCATTGCAGAGTCCTCTCCAATTCCCAAATCCTCCCCAACTCTTGTTTTTTTCCTTCGTAGAATCCTTTCGGGCTCCCAAATCCTCCCCCTCTCCTGGGTTTTCCTTTGTAGAATCCTTTCCGGTTCCCAACTCCTTCCCAACTCCTGTCTTTTCCTTTACGGGATCTTCCCCAATTCCCCAAATCCCCCCAAACTCCTGTTTTGTCTGTTCCGTTGTAGGCTTCTCCCCGAATCCCAAATACTCCCCAACTTCTGTTTTTTTTCCTGCGTAGGGTCCTCTTCACTTCCCAACTCCTCCCCGGCTCATTTTTTTCAGATCCTCCCCTAACTCCTGCTTTTTTCAGCCCCTCTCCAATGTCCAAATCCTCCGCAACTCTTGTCTCCGATTCCCAAGTCCTGCCCAACTCCTGCTTTTCCCTGTGTGTAATCTTCCCTGATTCCCAGCTCCTCCCGGACTCATACTGATTCCTCCCTCTACAGTACTTCCCACTTCCCAAATCCTCGCCTACTCCTGTTGTTTTCCTCTGTTTGCCTGCGCCAGTTCCCGACTCCTCCCCAACTCATGTTTTTTTAATGTGTGGAATCACCCCCAATTCCCAACCCCTCCCCGACTCTTTTTTTTGTTCTCCGATGCAACATCCCCCCAATTCCCAAATCCTCCCCATTCCTGGTCCTCCCTCTTCTAGAAGTCCCTCCCAATTCCTAGATCCTCCCCAACTCCTGCTTGTCCCTTTGTTGAATCTTCTGCAAGTCTTAAATCCTTTCCAAAGATTGCTTCTTCCTGTTTAGAAGCCTCTTCAATTCCCAAGTCCTCCCCAACTCCTGCTCTGTCCTGTGTAGAGTCCTTTCTTTACCTGTGTAGAATCCTCCCCAAGCCCCAGATCCTCCCAAACTCCTTTTGTTTCCTTTGTCGTATCCGCCCCAATTTCCAAATCCTCTCCAACTCCTGTTTTTTCCTCTCTGTAGAACCCTCCCCAATTTTCAAATCCCTCCCAAGTCCTAGCCACGCAGCAAATTACAGCATGTCCGCTGTGCGGAATTATTTACTGTAGCAGCTACAGTACAGTAGCAGCATTCATTTCCCAGCGTGGTAGTAATGTAGAGAAGATGTTTGATAGTACGGCACGCCGTGCTGGATGTTTGCGACCTTGCCCCGCTGTCCTTCGCGTGGTGTTTCCTGGCCGACGATGGCGTGATGGCTACGTGCTGTCCCCGCCTCGCGACGTGCAAGGAATGCGAAACACATTGTTTCGCTATTGTCGTAAGCATCGGGGCCTTCAAGAAGCGTTCCAGGATGAGGACGGGCCCCCAGGAAGGGGCCCACACCTCTAGGGGTGGCGTCATGAACGGATCTTGGCGTCGGGGGTTTGAGGTCTTGGATCTTGCCCAACCGATTTCCCAACAATATCGTGGTGTTGTGTCCTCGTTCTGAAGAGATAGCGCCCCTCGTCTCATTCCTCCTTCCTCCTCGCCCTCCTCCTCCCGCCCGTTGCCTCTGACCTCCGCATGTCTCTGTTCCGGCATACTCTCGCATGCTGCGTGGCCCCATAGGGAGCTCCACCAAAGGGTCCAGAGGCGACTTCTCGCGTGCGTCCCCCGCGCCCAGTACAGCGCGTCGTGGCCCTGTAGGAAGCCCGGCAGAAGGCCCCAGAAGCGACGTTCGCGTGCGCTTCCCCCGCCCAGTGTAGTGGTTCGTGGCCTCGTGGGGCGCTCCACCGACGGCCGCCGATGCGACGTTCGCGCGCGTCTCCCCCGTCCAGCACAGCGCTTCGCGCCCCCGTCGGGAGCTCAGCGCTCCCAGCACAGCGCTTCCAGCACAGCACAGCACAGCACAGCGCAGAGGCGACGTTCGCATGCGTCCCCCCGCCACGGTACAACGCTTCGTGGCCCCATAGAGAGTGTCACCACTCCAGTGCCCGCAGCCGCATGCGCCTCCCCACACCCAGTACGGCGTGTCGTGGCACCAGAGAAAGGTTCACCGAAGGCCCCCGTGGCCTTGGCATTATGCGTTCCCCCCACCGAGCGCAACGTGTCGTGGTCCAGAAGGGAACCCGCCGAACGCTCCAGTGGCCGCGGCCGCATGCGCCTCTCCCACCCCGTACGATTTTGTGTGGCCCCACCGAATACCCCAATGGCCGCGGCCGCATGCGTCTCCCCCGCGCATTACGGCACGTTTCGTCGCCTTACGGAACACCGCCGAAATCGGTACCGTCAACGCGGCGTTCATAATTCCATATGGATGGGTTTTTCGCCCAAATTCTTTTCACACCGGGTGTTTTCGCCCAGCTTTGGGCCCTGTGACGCTCACGGATCGATCCGGCTCGAGATGTGCCGCAGAAGCGTGGTGTCCAGGGCTTTGTTCTTGATTTCTCGCGATGTTGCGTTTTTCCCCAAACCATACTGTGGTGTGGGGCCTCGTCGTGAAGCAGCAGTATTGAGTCTCGCGTCATTTTTTTGGGGGTTCCTGGTTCTTGATGGGTTTGTCGAATGCGGCATCCTCCTCCTCCTCCTCCTCCTCCTCCTCTTCCTCCTGCGTCCGTAACCATTTCGCTGCCTGGGTGGGTGGGCCCCCGCTACTTCCAGCGATCCTCTTGTTCGCAGAAGCAACAAAGGGCGAGCCGCCGCCCACTTATTCTCAGGCCAGATTCCGTTGAGAACGCATCTATCAAGCCTGTGCCATGGCAGGCGACCGCAGCTGTGGCGCAGGAGCCGGTGGTGATGCAATTCGGCGGCGAACGATGGGTGAATCATTAGAAGGAGGAGTGTTTTTTTTTTTTTTTTTTTTTTCTCAGAGGGTGGCGGGACTTCTCAAAAAACCTTCGCGCCTTCTGAGAATGTTTGCTCTGTGTTCGGGGAAGGGCTTAGAAAACTTATCAGAAAACTGGGGAACTTCCGAACTCTTTGAACAAATGCCTTTTTCCGTCTCACTTCCCCCCTTTTCGTTTGCCGCCGAGCAGCAGCTACCCCACCTCAATCTCGACGCGGACGCTCAAGGGCGCCAGACAGCAGTTATACCAGCACGCGATTTGCAGGCAATGTTGGTACCGTTGGACTTGGAAGGGACAGTCTGGGTGCTTCTTGTGCGAGGCCCTTCGCACCGTCTCCAGCTGAGCATCGTCGGCCCGCAGGTGCATGGGCAAGAAGCATACCCAAGCCGCCACGGCACGCCTCCCAGTCAGCTGTTGGTACAGGGTCAGTCCCCACCGACAGGGGAAAACACATTTTTAGCTCACCGTCGACGAAGTCGCCGAGGCACACCAGTGGCTCAATGGCGCAGTCGCACGTCAAGGGCAGGCTGTCCTCGACGTCGTCCACTCAGAGAAAGCTTGCGCCAAAGCGCAAGAGGCACCGTGCCAAACTTCTGGAGCGGCCGCGCGAGAAACCGCAGTACCTGGATCGCCAGACATTTTCGCGGTCGGCAGGAGTGGAAACAGGACGCCGACCAACGCGTCAAGGCGTTCAACGACGGCCAGGAGCATGTCCGCAAGATCGCATTCAGCGCTAAGCAGTCCGCCAGCAATCCCGTCAAGCGCACAAGAGCCGCTGCTGATAACCCGCCACCAGCGGCGCTTGCCGTTGGTGGCCCCCTATTCCAGAAGGGCAGCAGCAGGCACAACCACCAAGGCAACCTAAGCTACCGCCCGCGGTTGCAGCACCAGCTGGGCCAGCCGCCGAAACCGCTGCCCAGCCCGCTGCTGACGCACCTGTTCAAGCCGATCGGAAGGCCGCCGCCGCCCTCATCGAGACCGTGGCCAAGGCCACCGAGATGGCTCGGGCCGCCAAGGGAGGAAGCAAACGGGAGCAACACCAACAGCCAGCTGTAGCCGCCGCGGGATCTCAGCAACCTGGGTAGCCTCAGCACCAAGGGCGCCAAGGCCCATATCTTCTTCGGCGGTATCACCGAGTGGGGACAGCAGGCCGCCAACTGCTGCCGCGCCCTCGGCCACAGTTCCCACCTCATCGCGAGGGCTGGAGACCCACGTGTACGCGAAGGGCATCCAGGGCCAGGTCGGGAAGCTCGCCGTGGACACCTGGAAGCTCTCAGCCACGCTGGCAGTGCCGACCCGCGACTCGGACAATGGGGCGCACGGTGGCGAGTGGATGCTCGGCCCCATGGGCATCGCAACCACCGCCTTTGAGGGCTGCAGGGGCTATTATTTCAAGCGCCATAGGGGGCCGCCGTTCGCGGGCTTCTCGCCCGGCATTCTGCGGGCCAAAAGCGGCGACATCGTCGTTGTCGCGGCGTGCCTTCTGTCTGGGCTTCGCGAGCCGTTGCGCGAAAAAGGGCGCCCTGATCTACAACTCCACCATCGCGGACGTGCTCGGCGACCTTTGGATCGCGCCCGCCAGCTGGAATTAAGAGCTGCGCTGGTTGAGCGACAAACCGTGGCTCACCACGTGAAACAGCGCCGTCCCCGCCGACCCAGAGTGCAAGGCCACTTGCGACAAGGGCTTGGGCTCCGTGTGCGACTGCGCCATTGTGCCAGCGGACCTCGTCGCGCATGTCGACGCGAAGGCGCGCTTCGTCGTGCGGTGGAGGGCCCGGGACTATAGAAAATTCCGAGGGTCTCCGAAGGCCGCCTTCCCCGAGCCAGACCAAGGAAGGTCGCCATCCCTGCGAGCAAAAGGTGCAGGGCTCGGGCAGAGGCTCTGCGAACCAGGAGGGGCAGGTTACCGGGGCACCTGCGCGAGGATTTCGACGCCCTCCGCAAGAGCGACGCCGGTACTGCGGATCCCGACAGCGCACCCTTCACGATTATGGGTCGCACTTGTGGTCAGGCCGCGGAGGTCGCGGGCGGCTGCCCGAAGTTCCAAAGGCACTTGGTCGGCGCGGAGGGCAGAGGGCGCATTTTTCACCGACGCAGAAGATGAACGTCACCTACGCTAATTGGGTCGCCGCCCTCGAGATCGCGTTCCTGGAGACCCGCGACCTGCCCGCTGAGGGTGGGGGGCCAGGTGCCGGGGCCGGGCCGAGGGCTAAGATTGCGAAGCAGACCGCGCGGGCTTCACCAGGCCGCGCGCCCGAGAGGCCCAGCGGCGAGAGCCGCGGGCGGAGCGCGCGCGCAGGCGTCGCCTCGACTGGGCGAAGCAGACCTGGTAGGAGGCACCTGGTAAACTACGTCGCGCCGTCGTCGGTCGCAGCTCGCGGCGCCCTTGGGCCCGGCGGAGGCGCGCCGCCATCGGTGGCCCCCGCCTGGCCATTGAATTCTGCTACCGGCAACCTGGGGCATGAGCTGGGACATCAGCTCCTACGACGAGAACAAGATCATCGCCGCCTACGAGAACGCTGCGCGCCTCGCCAGGGAAGACCCCCTTTTCCGCCATGGGGCCGCAGCAAATCAATCCCGCCGCCAGCGCCGCCAACCCTAGGAAGACCACGGGCGCGGACAGACGCTGGCCCCATCGACATTCGGCGCCGCCCGAGGCAGGGCGTCGAGCAGCCCGCCGACATCTGCGACGAAGTGGAGGACTACGGACTGCGGTCGCAAGAGCTCTTCGCCATGATGGGGGGGAGGGCCCCCGAACCGGCGGGGGGCGATCGCATCCTCGAGGTGCCCCCCCGCCATCCCAACGGCGTGGGGCAAGGTCCGCTCTCCCATCGCCGACCAGTGGCCCCGCGAGCTGGGCGAGTTTTGGGGCGCCGCCATCGAGGGGCCCAGCGAGCTCAGGGCAGCGCTTGTCGCGGCTCTCCTGGGCGGAACGGCGGCGTCTTTCGGCGCCGTGCTCGCGCTCCTCTGCAGGGCGGCCGTCGCCGAGAGATTCCCGCCGATCGCGGTGCCCCTCGCGGCGCAGCCCTCGCGGTCCTCTGGCCCATCTTGCCGCGGGCGCGCCGCGACTTCGCCAGCGCGCGGCTCTGGGCGTTCGTGGGCCCCGGAGCTCAATGCCTCCCCCGAGACTGCAGTCGTCGCCCCCGGCCCCTCCATCGCGCGCCTCGAGGCGAAGGGCCACCCTATTTGAGGCGGCGGGTTCCCCCCTCCATCTCGGGGTCGTCGCGGGAGGGGCCGGGCGCTGAGTCGCGGCCGCGGCGCCCCTGCGAGCGAAGAAGGCGCAGCGGCGCGCTGGCCGCGTCGTCGCCGAGATCAGGGGGCGCGCGTCGCCCGCCAAGATCGCGGTGGGCATCTGGCCCACGGGGCCCAGACAACTGGGCACTTGCGGCCGCCAGATCACGGGGCCCCGCCCCGCCGCCACCGTGCAACAGAGGCGCCGAGCATTGCGAGCAATCGCCTGCGAGGCGCCAGGAAGGCACTTCGCTACTGCACTAGCTGCGGCCCTTGCCCAGGAGGGCCCCGCCGCCGAGATGCGACGCCAGTCCGCCGCGCAATGCGTCAGCTTCTGGTTCGACGACCCGAACTGCCACGCGCGCGTCGCCCACGTCTGAAGGCCCCTCTACAAGAAGACCATCCGCCACTGGAACTGGAAGTGGCGCGAGGTCCTGGCCCCCATCTCCGCGATCTAGGCCTTCCTCGTGGGCGCGGGCTGGGGGCGGCTCGCCCCCGCGCGAGTGGTCGCGCATCCCGGAACGGTGAACCTGCTGACCAGTCGTGGCTCCTGCCGCGCAAGGGCCAAGTCGACTTGGGAGGGCAGGCGCCGCGAGGTCAAATAAGTTCACGAAGCAGGCCAGTGGGCCCTTGACCTCTGCATCGCGCGCATCGCGCCAGGGGCTCAGCGATCGCGGGCGCGTCTGGTCGAGGCGGGCCGCTGGGCGCAGACGGCTGCCCCCGCCGTGGCAGAGCGGGCGAGCTCTTGGTGCGCCCGATCTGGCCATGCCCTATGCAGCCGCGAGCTTGCGGATGATGCGCGAAGACTGACGCGATTCTTGTCGCCTTGCAGAGGTAGAAGCCTCGCCTGCGCGCTGGCCTCGCGGCCTGCCCGCGCGCGCGGGCGCGCGCCCAGTCTCCCCCAGCGAGAGCGCGGGCGGCGGGTGGAGCTGGTTTGGGCGGGGTTGGGAGGGTTGCGTCGCTAGCGGCGGGTTTCTCGCATTGTTCGCTGGCGGCTCTGGCGGGCATTTCAGCGCCGCCCCCCGCTGCCGCGGGGCGGGGGCAGCCTGCGCCGCCGAGAAATGCTTATTCGGGGAGTGGCCCCCTTGGAGGGGCATCTGGTCGGGCCTCGAAGGTTCGTTTCAAAGTGCGCCCTGTGACCTCGTGCCGAGCTACATGCTTCCGCGCTCGCTCTCGAGGACTGGCCAGGCGGCCCGCGCTTCGTCGCTGGCCCCTGCCGAGGTCGAGCCGACGCCCGCGCCCCAGCGAGGGCGCGAACCAAGACCAGCGGCAGCTCATCGCAAGGGCGATGCGCTCTCGCGGCAACGGCAGGCCCGAGGTGATTTGGGCGCCCTCGCACGGCGAGGGCCCTCTGAGATCGCAGCAGATCTCATCCGAAACTTTCGCGCGCTGGGCAGCGCGCGCGCTGGCGCTAGGGCGGGCGCGGCCGCCCAGGGGACATGGAGAGCTAAGCCGATACGGGGGGGCGCCCCCCGCGGACTCTCGCGACGCGCAGCGCGCCCTCGCCCGTTGCGCGGCGCGACGGGCTCTCGCCGACTCGCTCGCCGCTGACCCGCGGGCGGCAGAGAGGCCATCGCAGGCGCGCGCCAGGCGCCCCTTCAAGCTGAAGCTCGCCATTCAATCCAGCGCGAACGCTTTTTGGCTCCGCGCGAGCAACTGCGGGCGCTCGCGACGCGGGCTCTTTTTCGACGAGCGCGCGTCGTGACAGGCATGCGGCGCGCCCGGCCACTATGGGCTCCCGGGCCCACCGCCAGCAAACAGGCTGCGCCGCTGCTGGGCGCCGTCGCGCCAGTTTCACTTCGCGCAGAAACGCCGCTTGCATGTCTGTCGTCGCCGCGGCAAGACGGCGGCGGGAGATTCGCGCCATCTCGGCGTGCAGCGGCTGGGGAATGCGCGTCAGGGGCGAGGGGGCCTCGCTGAGATCGATCGAGTCCCATTCGCCCCCGCGCGCGCGGGTCGCGATGACCGCGCTCCATGCAGAAGGGTGGCCGCCCACGTCGCGGCCGCGGATGAACCTGTGGCCGCCGCAGCGCGCGTTGCGCATGCGAGCGCTCTCTAATCTTGCTGTGCAACTTTTTAGTCCGCCGTGCCAGTGACATGTTGCACCTAATTTCTTCATGTTCCATTATCCTCTTCCTCCTGCGCCCCCGCGCTCATTGCTGCGTGGGTCTCGCGCGTTTTTGCGGCCCCGCAGGGAGCTCCGTCGAGGGGTCCGCTGGCAGCGGCCGCGCATGGTGCCCCCCCCCCCCGCGCGCTTTCGCGCGCCCCTCGCAAGTTTCGTGGCCCCATACTCACGGAGGTCCTCCGAAGGCCCCAGTGGCAGCCGCCGTGCCGCATGCGGTATAGCCCGTGCAGTTTCGCACGCCAGTCGCAGGTTTCGCGGGCGCAAGCGCTTCCGATGTCTGGAGAACAGGAGGACGAGGAGGACATGGAGAACGAAAGGAAGGGGACCGACGAGGAGAGCGAAGGCCCCCCCCAGCCAGGGCCGCATCGGCGTGGTCGTCAACGACGTGGCCGCCGTCAACATCGACGCCAAGCTCGTCGACTCCCAACAGGCCCCGCTCAGTTCCGCCCCCCCCTCCGGTCCGCGGTGCATTTGCTTTCAGACCGCCGCCCTTCGCACGGCAGGCCCATGTCGATCCGATCGATCAATTCGATATGGATGCCTGTCCCGAGTGGCCCGACCTGACTCGATTCCGATGTTCTGGTGGCTTGATAGGGGCCTGATGCTCGTATGGCGCTGCTGCGCGGCAGGTCAGTTTCGATTTCGACTCCTTGCCGATACAACCCAATCCGGCGGACATTTCAATCCGATCCGACTGTCCGATACGGGTATGATAGATGATAGGGCGAGCTAGCGAGTGATACAAGTCAGCAGTGGGTCTTTAGCTGTAGAACGCAGCTTCGCGCATCCGATAAGACTGTGTCCCTGGACCTCTCCCGGGGTCCACCTCTCTGGGTGTTCGATCATGGACGACCGTTTGTTG